CTGCTGCCTGAAGGATACGTGTGCAATGTCCAGACTGAAATATATAGTGTGTATCAGACGACGAAACTTTTTTGCAATTTGCTCCGGCATCAAAGTTTCGCTCCGTTCTTCGTCCCATTTCTTTTTCTCTCAATTTTTACTTGTCCAAAACTTGTCTGTAAACTTGTCTTCCAGGTGTAATAAGAATGGATGCGTGTGTAAATTTATGCGTGTCCATATTTCACCTGCCTTTTTTTTTCATAAACTTATATGAGAAATTGATGGCATTTATCATTCTTGGCAAATGCGATGACAAAACATATTTTCCACAAATAAATCTATTAATATAAAAAATATTTAATGACTGTTACTTATTCTTGAAACATGAGTTTAAATGTAACAAATTATAGTTTTTTTTAACTAAATTCACAATAATTATAAATATTATTACATAATAGGAATAACTACTACAAATCAAGTATAAGAATGGGAAAATAATTGACATTAGTATACAAAAGGTAAAAGTAAAAAGCAGACTATTTTCTATAGTCGTAAGTCTTAAAATTTATACATATTGTCTATATAGATTTAACTGAAGAAAATTAGTTTGGAAGATGTTTCTCTTTATATAAATAATAAAATGCAGATAATAAGATTTATATTAAAACTATAAAAAGACGGTGTCTCCACTTCAAAATGATGACCTTGCTGATATTTCTACAATCCTTCCCACATTCAAGCAAACATCAACAAACGACTAATATTACTTTCTTGTAAAGTAAACATACCGCATTTAAGCGAAAACTAGTAAAATATAGATAATAAAATTTATATTAAAACTATAGAAAGACGGTGTTCTAAATACTGCATAAACAATCAAACATATTACGAAAGATAAATATAAAACTTTGAAACAATTTCCAAACAAATTATATTAGAAATATTTTGAAATGGTAAACAAGTGAATGTAATTAGCCTGAGGGCATTTTAAGAACAGAATAAATATGTTTCATACGAATTTATGTATGTTTATGAAAGGGCACGGAGGGAGCAAGTTCATAAATATTTAGAAATTCCGTTTTAATTAAAAAACTTGCCCGAATCCCGGGGTGGTCATAAAAATGGCCATCAATCCAGGCCGCAATGATTATGGGGCGTTGCAGGGTGCCCGAAGAATGAATGTAATTATGGGAATAAATCGCCCACCCTCCACCAATTTAGCAACACTTGTGCGCGCCAAGTGTTTTTATTTCCGTGTTATCTGGAATTATGATATTTACTTTCGCATCAATCTGCATCCCATTTCAGAAGTACCAACGTCTCCATCCCTCCATCGTTCACTCTTTTTTTTTCTCTCTGCTTTACCGACCCATTAAATTCCGAACGGCGCACACCGAAATGGCAATCTGCGAAAATCATTTCCTTTTCTTTCCCACTCGCACCACCTCGCAGTTACGTTAACTGCTAAGAATTCAATTTCATTATACAAGTCATGGATGGAATGGAAGGAAAAAGAAGCTGAGAGTAAAAAAAAGAGAATAACAGAAGCAAATACAGAAAAAAAAAATATATATAAAATAAATGTATTCCAGCACGAAATGAATGATGAAAATTCGCGTAATCAATTTGGCGCGTTTTAAAGTCTCCACATAAAAAAAAAACAGTGACATTAAATATCTGTGTGTCCATTTAGTGTAATTTTTGATGGATGTGTCTGCTTAATGAGTTAATATAAATGTATTACATTATTAATGCATCATCGTTACTCACGTAACTCTCGCTTTTGGACACACACACACACATTTGGGGCATGCACGTGTATATGAATGAGTGGTTTAAACAAAAAATTGAAGCCCTGCAGGATTTGCAAATCCAATTTGAGTACGCAGTATGCAGCTCGATAGGAAATAAAAATAAAACGTGGAAAAACGTGGAATTCGTTTTCCGATGTCGCGTGACATGTAGGAATAACCGCAAGTGGTTTTAGGGGATGATAAATCTAAATTAAGCATTGGCAGTGTGGCAATTTCCGAGGGCGAGTTAGAAAGAGATAGATAGTGGTACGGTATAAGGGTGTGCGCAGGGTGGGTGGAAAGTCGCGGACACGGAATTGGGTCACGTGGAAAAACAAGTTTCCATTGAGGGAGATTCGTTACTGGCTTGGCTTGCCGTAATTAGAACACCTTTCTTTCCGATCCACTTTCATTTACTTTATATATTCTACTATTTTATTCACTCCTCGCTCCTATTATTACACGTTGCTCATTATTATATGATGTTTGTATAATATCATACAGTTCAATATATAGTCCAAATTACAACAGTCTAGAGATTTTAAAGTTTACCGAATAAAAAATTGTAATATTCAACAATCTCTAATATAAGAAGGACATTGAACAAGATACAAATTTGTACATAAAATGATTTGCTTATTCATTTTTTTCTTTTATATAATTACGACGTTTTCCTATGTCCTTAATTAGTCCGGTTTTAGCAGTGAATCCGCACTATCCAAGTATATTTTTGTATCTATATTGACTTCTACTTCATTCCCATGCTACAGTTTTATTACACAAAATATTAATTTGTTAAATAAAATATTGTAAGAAACAAAGTTAATGAATGCATAAAAAGTTATTTCATTACAATCAATATTATTTGTATAGTTAAATTAGTTCTCTTTTATTCAAATAAAAACAATTGTAATGAAATACATAAACAAACACATTAAAAATCAACACAAACTGAAGTAGAAACACAATTACAATTAATATATACATGTTTGTCCGGGAAAAAAAGTTTTCTCCTTAATAAAAAGAAATCCCTGAATAAGAGTATTTTATAGCTACAGATTATTATTCATTTAGAGTATATCAGAAATTGAGATTAACATGCATATTATGATATTAAAAATCATCTATATGTAAATTATTAAATTAATTAGTAAATGGTATATTAATATATTTTAATTAATTATTATATTTCACTACAAACATTGTCATTAAATCAATGCACACAAACCACACTACGAGATTTGCAGTAAATTAGGTAATATTTTATATTACACGATGATGAAGGTAATTCCTAATGGCTGTATGTGAAATTAATTAAATATTCATAATATTGTCTCTATACCAATCACTGCACACTCTACAATAATCTATTGATTATAATCAAACATTCTGTTGGCTTTAAAGCATTACGTATATAATTCTCGTATATGCACTAAACCAATAATTACATCGACTTGTGTATTCACAATTTCACATTATTTTTATGTATCCTAATAGCACATAAAATAAAAGTATCGTATGTAATTATGGATTAATTAATAGATTTTTTTTAAAATTTAACAACTGAGTAAGTCGTGTGTAAATACAAACAATATTTAATATTTGTAGAATGTAATTATATTGTTGAAATAAAAGTAATTTTTGGTAATGATGTGGTAGAAATCTGTATTCGGATGGTGGAAATGCAGTCATTTTCTGTTGATTATGTATGATGGTACGTATACAGCTATACATAGCAATACATAGAGAAAAGGAGATCGTGGCGTAACGATTGTGTGGGGTATCCTGGTAATGTATATCCTTTACGTGCTTTAATCAAGAGAATCCAGAAACGTACATAACGGATATTACCTCGCGATATTGTCTTCTGAATTGACAGAGGATGCTAAATCAATATAACCAATTTATAAATTGGTTAGAAGCGAACAAATACTGGCAGCCTCGGTACCTTGCCATAGAAACTGGTTCAAACGTTTGCTTACTAAATATATATATATTTAGATGGAAGATATATCTTCTGAAAACAGAAATTTAATAATACAGCCGAACCCATCTCGATTATACAAAGCTCGGCTTTAATTAAACACTGAGAGAGACCGGGGTAAGATCACAATCGTAGCAATTCATTCGTTCGTGTGTATACATTTAAGGTCCCGATAACTCCGCACTTATTGACATTTATAGTAACTTAATGAAGACGTAAACCCTCAAATGTCTTCTGAAATTTGCCGACGATTTCCCACGGGATCGAACGGTATCTGTCTTGGCTAGGTGTATTCCCTCACTGTCTATGGGCTCAGGTGTAGTTAATATAAATGTACGGTGTGAAGGCGTCCACCTCCCCACTGAATACATCCTTTTTACACAGAGGCAAACACGGATAAAATCCTGATCCCTATTTTAATTATATCGTTCGGGCAATTTTCCCCACTAAGTCCTCAGTGTTGTGGAAACCGAGCACGTGCGTTAATAGTAATAAAAAGTTTGCGGATCTATAATTAAGCCCGAGGAAGGTCCGCATCAACACTACACTTCCGGGTCGGTCGTAAATATTTTTTTTTGTCCCGGTGCTCGGACACCGGAAGCAAAACGGAATGGAGCCATGCGAATTCTCTCGTTGCATACTATTCTCGGATTCACCATCGTCTGCGGGATTTTCCTCTTCTATTATCTTCTTTTTTTTTCCTTCCGTGCATTCACACACGCTCTGGGACAATACTTAATGGGTCGGCCTTCAATTAATCACCGGAAATGTATACAAAACTTTTCCGGTCCAGGATTTATGGAAATGGATATAAATTCTAGATTAACAGACACATCGAAGAATAAGGCTATTTTCTATTGTAATTACCAAAACATACGACATTTATTTGGCTTAAGAACATCAGTCTTTAATCGAAGTCTTTTACTCATGTCATTTTTAATTGTATAATCAATTTGTTGAATGAAATAATAATAACAAAACTGTATTCAATACATACAATTTTATCCACTTTGTAGAATATATAAAAAGATATAAAATGACAATATATGAGAATTGATTACATTTCTTAATTTATATTTTATGAAAACTGTATAACACTCTTAGTTATTAGTGCTCATTTGAGTGCTCTGAGAGGCTATTATACGTTATTACATTAATACTAAATAATATTTCTGTATTTTAGTCATTAGGTAGATAATTTATCTTTAAATAAATACAAATTGTATTATGATTTAGAAACTTACATGCATGAAACAGATGGTCATGGCTAATCCGGTGATCCAGATAGTCTTCTCCTCAAAGAACCAAGTTAACTCGTCGGTACAACCATGGAAGAATGGATTTCCGGTGACGGTGTCTCTGCAGGTGTTGGGAATGGGCTGATGAAGCTTAATGTAATCGTTGGCTCCGTCGGCGCCGCAACATCCGATCTGTAATTATAAAGCGAATTGAACATTCCAATTTAAATGAAAGTAGTCGAAACGGGGGGGCGAACATCCCTGCTCCCCCCGGATGAATGCGCGATTTTTCGCAGTTCAATTTGCGATTGATTTTGAAAGCCCACACAGCATTCGCTTTTAAGTTTATTACAATTTCAATCAAAACTCCAGTTACCAATAATAATGTTAAAATCACATTACCAGTGCATATCCGACATCGGAGGCGCCGCGACAATGGAAAAACATTCCGGAACCAAAGCGCGGCGGAGCGAATCTTCTCTTTTTTTTTTTTATTAAATTAAATTTTAAAGTTATTGCATAGAAAAATTCGTGCCACGCTGAAATCAATTACGCCCTTTTATGTCCGCATCCTCTATCTATCTAACCACCCAACCTCCCCGTCCCTTTACCCACTTTATCCCATTCCGAGCTCATGCTATTTTTTTTTCCAAACCCATTCTGTCTCACTCTCGCTGCCCTTTATAACCCACTCGTGTTTTCCCTTGCACCCCCCCATCTTCTGCACGTTCTATTTTTTTTTTGCTTCATTCCATGTCGTAATTTAACGAAAAGCAAATATGAGAAGCCATGTAGAAATACTTATTGAAAGCGAGGGTGGCTTAAATTTATTAGAAGCCGACGTGGAGGATGATGCTTTTTTTTTATTCTTCTCTAGCAATTTTTACGAGCTCCAAATACTTGTCCGCTATTCACCAGATCTAATGACTTCGTGGCCCCTCTTTGCAAACCAATCCTGCATCATCCAAGGAAGGTATGAGTGAGTATACCCGACGCTGTATACTCATCCATGCATCATTACATACGCTCAAAAGAAAGTACAGCGAGCGCAGCGTTAAAAAAATAAGTTTTTCAATGTATTTCCTATTGTAAATATACAAATTATTGATAAATTTATAATATTAACAGAGTTAATATAAGAGAAATCGCATTCCAATTGAAAGTATGTTTTATGTATAATAATTCCTATAACCGGTTTGAAAGTAGTAAACATTTCAATAACATTTTCAAACAACAATTGATCTTTTTCACCACGAACTAAGAAACTTTTTTAACTATCAAATTTTGTAATTAACTTCAAGAAAAATGTTTTTTCCATTTCTTATTATAATTAAACTTCTTTTATAAGCAAATTGTTTCTGCTTGAGTTGCTTATAAATTAATACTAATAAAAATTGTACATTATTAATAAATGTAATTTATTACAGATATTAAATATACACGCACAAAAGGCGGCAAACTTTCTCACTCTATAAAATATTATTTTCTCATAAAATAAATACTGCAAAAAACAATTACATTATTAAACATCGAGAGTTTTTTTTTTCATGGATCGCAAAGACGAAATGTGAAAAATTGATGTAATTGAGTATTGTAACTTCAATACAAATGTAATAGCGTGGATATTGGAAATTTTGATTCAATTTTCACGCCCTTTTTTTTTCCCACACTGTCTCTATCCATGCTTTTTCACGTTCGCCTCTTCTTCCGTTCTGTGTGTGTGTCATTTTCCTTTTTTTTTCCTTTTATATATTATATATTGGGAAAAGCGCTGCGGTAGAGCTGTCACATAACACCAAAAAGAGCCAATATTTATCTTCAGCTTACGCAGCAGCTGAGAGTATGTGATATACCGGAAGTGCTAGTTTACCCAAGTCTGGACTACTTTCAGACCATTCTAAATGAAATGAACCGACGTGTCCCACCCTGTTTCCATTCCGTCAATAAATACATCTCAATTACATTAAAAGTACATGTATTATATATTTTCTTTCCGATCCGATGTTTCTAATTAATAAAGCAATATTTTAATCTCTTAAAACTAATTGTATTCAAATTGATACTTTATGTCACTAAAAAAACAGATAAATATCAATTAAATTGTAATATAACATTATTATGTTAACCAATATTTTGTTAGGTTTTTCTTGTTTGTGTTCGTTATTTTTTTCTTTCAGGTAGAAAGATGTAGCAGATTCAGTTTTAATTTGGGTAAAGTAAATATATTGCTAGGAAAATTGGTGTATTATGTAGAGCGATGTAATTGGTCGTATTCCTGCGCGCACATATTTACAAATTTTACATGTGGGGGTTGCAAGGTACGGCGCATCCGGCGGTCTAACCAAACACAGGGTAATGGGGTTTAAACCCTCGGTGGTAACTGTGGATATCCCCGCGGTGCACGTCTTTATCTTAACCTCAAACAGAATGAGCCACCGTCCTGAAGATGATTCGCGCCGCCCCTTCCTTCGACCCTACACGCTAATATCTCCTCTCCACCGGTAAATATTTGATATTACAGTGGCTTGCGTGGGTATCTGTCTATATATATATATACGCGAGGGTGAGAGATACCTTCGTACTTTCTAGGAGCTTCTATAATTCTCCCGTGGGAATGCTTCCACGGAGGTTGTCCATTACACATCCATTTGTAAATCAATATATCAGATCGAATGTACTTTTATTTACCTTCCAACGTCCATCCTTCGCGGCTACTATATAACTTACACGGTTCCTCACCCCACAACACCATCATTTACATAACAAACACTTTTGGCCAAACATGGAATTAGTTTACTGTAAATCTCAAAATTAAACCGCAATACTCATACTCTGTCCCCTTTTCTCACATGATACACTATACTCTTCATCAATATTATATAAACTACTAAATGTTAACATAAGTAGTTTACGATTTATTGTTCAAATTCAAAAATGTGCTCTAAAACTAAAAAAAAATGGTAAATTAGTATTTTTTTATTACGTTGGGAAGAAGTTGTGAATAATAAAAGAATACATTTGTATACAACTTATACATTTAGTTCTTAAACAAATTATAAATTCTAACGTTCATTTAAGTTTCTTGTTTTCTTTAAAATCTTGAAGCTATTACATAGATAATTGGTATTCCATTAAATAAATAGTTGTTAAACATATATTTGTGTCATATTAAAATCTGCTTAGTGTGGTTTTGTGAAATGCATTTCGTAAATTGTATTTGAACTTCGCCATCAAAAGACTACGGTAATCGTAATCTAAGCAACAAAATGCCAAGCAATTACGGAATGCGATGGAAGCGGAAGCCTCTAATGAATGACGAATTATAATACTCGGAAATTATTAATGCTGTTGGTTGAATCCCATCGGAACTGGTAAACAACAAAAGCTTTTAATAATATTAGAAACTATGTGTAATTATAGTTGGTCGTAGTGTGTGTGTGTGGATGGAGTAATTTCATCGGGACGGCGACTGGAGGTGGGTCGGATAACGAAAGAACTTTTCGGCTGCATTAAATAATCATTCCGGTGGAGGCGAATTTAATGCGTTCGACGGCTCGCTGTTTGCGAGGGCTTACACATATTGGAGAGTTAATATGCATTAGTGTTTGACGGGCGATGGGAAACGTAATCTAAACAAAAACAGAGCTCTCGCATCCACGCTTAATAAGTTGAGGACGGGAGGGATCGTCACCACCCATCGACGACTATCCTTGTTTGATTTTGACGTAATTAAATGCCGTCGTTAACTTGACTTGGGTCGAATGTGTCTCATTTCGAAGCAACGTGTGGTGTGGAACACTTACGTTTTCCTGGATTATGGACAGGGTCTGCTTGGATTCCTCGTGGTGGGAGTTCATGATCAGCAGTCTCATCGACTCCCTGATCTTCGGCTGGATGCTGGAATCCTGGGTGCTGTAGTCCAACAGAACGGCGGATCCGGATAATGCGAATACAAAGCAGAATACTTGACTGAAGATAAACTGAAATGAAATTAAAAAAAAAACAATTAATTTAAATAAAATAATATGATAAGTACAAATAGATAATTATAATTATTAATTAAATTTGTTTCATATAAGTTAACCGATAAATAACCGGTATATGTTGTCAAAATTTACCAGTAATTTTACCGGTTAATGACCAAAATTAGCCTTCTTAAGGGTCCATCTATCAATTAAGCAATTAAAAAACAATATTGTCTTATAAATACTTGTCATAGAACACATTTAAAATTATTTTGACATCTTATAAGAAGTTTGCAGTTATCCCAACAATATTTATTTATTAAAATTGACGTACCAATATAAATTAATTAGGTAAAGTTTATTATTATTTTGTTATATAATGTGATGAAAGTTACGTTAATAATTAGTTTACTGGAACGCAGGGAATGCATCATTTACAAATTTAATTGCTTTCATAAACATTTCAAAGTAATTAATATTTGGCTTGACTGGTGCTCCATCTTGCCGGGTGCATTCCAAGTTCCCGTAGATTCGCGCCGCATTTTAGGGAACATCCTTTTCCGCGTCCCCTGCACACTGCGAAAGGAGCACCGTTATTTTTAGGGTTTCTCATATTTGCCGTGAAATAAGTAGACACGGAATGTATACGTAGACGTCGGCTCGGTTACGAATGTTGCTCGTTTCGACTGAGGAGCGAAGCTCCGGCGCGGTTTTATGCACAAAGTAAGAACGGATGTACATACTTTTATAACCATTGTCAAGCTGCAGACTTGAGAGCTCCTTTGAATATAATTAATTTATGACGACTGTTTATAATAACCCTCCCAACCATATTTCATCCAAATAAATTCTTCTTTTTTTCCTCTCTCGCCGTCACCGCTTTCCTTGTTTCTCTGTTCGGTCGAGTGAAAAAAAATTATCAAGTGAACGTACAAACTGCAATTAAATCGTATCTCAGTGAAATTGCTAGCCCACAATTTCTAAAGACAGTTATTTTAAATTTAATTAAAATAGTTTCATGATAACATTCACTTACATATTATAACAATTTATAAGTAATTGTCATAGTGTTCCAGGAAATTTATTATTTTGATTGGGAGATTTTTATATCATGAAGCTTATAAATTTATTTCTTAGTTTATAATCATTTGAACAAAAAAAAATGTTTATCATAATATAAAATTAAGGCAATTGAGGTAAACGAGTTGAAGAACTGAATAAACTGAATTGCACTGTTGAGGTTTAGCAATGGAAATAAAGACATTAGATGTTCGTTCCGTCCTTTTAGAACGGAGCACAGCAAGATTAAAGTATTAAAGTACGAAAGTGCACATTGGAATGCTTGATTAAAGCCGGAGCCTGAAATAATGGTTGCGGTTTAATTATAATAAATAGTTGGTTACCATGCGCTGTCGGCAGTTCGAGGTTATGGTTCTGCCGTATTATACGTATTTCGTGTTTGTTTTTCTTTCCTCCTCATTTTATATTATATTTTTTGGTTCTGTTGTTGTTATTTAGTAATACAATCCGAGAGCGGAAGGGCGCCATGAATAATTTAGAGGCGGGCGTAAATTCGCGCTCCGCTTTTTTTCGTGCCGCACTTCTTCCTTTCATTTTAGATTTTATTTTGTTGCTCGGCATCCCACCAAAACGGAATTTTCCTTTAATAAATTTAATGCGCAAACTGGAATTGCCTCACTTAGACAATAAAATAAATCAGGTCGACGGCAAGTGTACCTAATGGCAGAAAAACCGAGGGCGGTAAGAGCGAGAGGAACACACAGATAACAGTTTATATAAAATATGCAGAAGAGGCGTCTATTTCAGCGGAGAATGCTGATTAGAAGAATGGAAATAATAATTGTAATGAGAGTCAGAAAGAAAGAAAATCGTGTAGAGAGATGGAACGCTAGAGATCCGAATATATATTGCGAGGGTGAAGGGATGTTACGCAACGTGCTTCAAATGAAATCAAGCCATATATCCTGTAATGTATTCGGATCCTGGGGTTTTCCTGCCACTGCGAGTGTGGGTGGGTGTATGTATACGAGAGAGTGAGTGAGTGATAAAGAAATAGAGAATAAGATAGAGGATTGAGAGAGAGAGAGAAGGCGAGTGAGTGGAGTCCAATTTATCACTGAAGGGCAGCAGCTCTCCTTGTGCGCGCGATAATTCCACTCTCACTCACCCTGCCCAGGATCAGTTCGTTAGTTCCACTTTAAGGCATCCCCGAAACGCACACCTGATACAGATCCCAAGTTCGCACCTCGGGACAAGCGCCCCCGGGATTAAAGCGACTCAGATATGAATTCTAATGTGAGCGCGGCGAAAATTTTAAATTACAAAAGTACCACGATTATCCCATCTTCGTGTTACTTACGACGCGGTAAGAGGATCGACTCCAGAAAATCATTTATCAAACACAAAAACAATCATTTACTTTTGTCTACCATGTACATCTCTAGCATACTTGCAATAAAAAGTACTTGTTTATTGCATTAAAATAAAAAGTATGAAAATCAATTGCATCATCATTACAAGGAGAAAAATCAAGTAATAATAGAGGATGCACTAATTACAATCGAATGAGAAGGGCAGAAAGTCTGTAGTCAATAGCCCTTTCTAGGCAGGGCCAAATTAAGGTTGCTGTGGACACTGACTAAACTATACTTGAAATATTCTGCATGGATAATAGTCTTTTCAATGAATAAGACTATCGAATTTGTAGCAATTGTACAATAAATTATGTTTATTATTATTTGATTGACAATTTAAGTTCAATGCTTCAAAACCTGACATAAACCTGTTCATTCTATTTTTTTATTATTATTTATATAATTGTGTAATTTCTCATTTCTTAGATTTTTTTCCTGAATTCAAATTTCAAACTGTTCTACAATGAATCCGCACTGATCGAAGCTCTATATATTTTATATTGCAAAGATATATTTATTAAGATTGCTGTGTATACTGACTAAACTATACTTTAAATATTCTTCATGCATAATAGTCTATTCCCGTGGTTTCCAAACTTGATGTTACTACGCCTCCCTCAAAAGTATGTAATCATTCTTATTTCAATTTTTCAACTTTGAACGCGTATTACAGCAATATGCACAAGAATGTATCTATACTTGCTGAATTTCCCAAACATTCAGCTTTCATATGCATATATTGGATTCATTCTATCTATTATAATTTTCGAGTAAATCAATCAAATGTTAAAACACTGCTTTTTTGAACGTTCTTATTTCAATTTTTCAACTTTGAACGCGTATTACAGCAATATCGATAAGAGCACAGGAATGTATCTATACTTTCTGGATTCCTCAAACATTCAGCTTTCATATGCATATATTGGATTCATTCTATCTATTATAGTTTTCAATTAAATGTAAATCAATTAAATGTGAAAAC